TTGGACTTAATGTCCATGAGGCCTTGACCACCCTCATTTAATTGTAGATACAATATTGTCTCTTTTAGCCAATGGTTTCCATTCCAGAAAAAATCTATGAACACTTTTTGAATTTCTCTAATAAAACCATCTGGTGGATTTAACACAATTAATTTATGCCATAGAACAGATGCAGCAAGGTTATTTATAACCAGTACTCTACCCCTATACGAAAGTTGTGGTAAAATCCAATTCCATTTTGATAATCTATTACACACTTTTTCTTTAACATTTTCCCAATTATTTCTTTGATACGATTCGGATCCCAAAAAAATACCTAAATACTTAAAACCATGTTTTTTCCATTTTCCATTTTCAGGAATAACAGGTAACCTCATTGTACTTTTTTCATTGCACCAAAAATCCTCTGTTTTAATCCAATTTAACTTTGCAGATGAAGCCCTCTCAAATAAAGAGATGCTGTTTTAACAACATCAACATCTTTTTGATTTTTTACTAAAATAGCGATGTCATCTACATAAGCTATTACTTTAACTGAATTGCATATAGCATCAAGTTTAAAATCAGACAAATTTTCTCTTAATAAACACAGTAATGGTTCTACTGCCAAAGCATAAAGCTGGCCTGATAAAGGGCATCCTTGTCTTATGCCTTTAAGTATTCTTACTGGTTTACTTAAGCTACCACCTATTTTTAAAACACATGAAGCATTTGTGTATAAAAGTTTGATCCAAGAAATAAAAACATTTCCAAAACCAAAAGCTCTCATAGTTTCAAATAAAAAACCATGGTCCACTCTATCGAATGCTTTCTCTTTCTCTTAAAAACAAAAAACCAACATTCACATCATTTAGTTTAGAATAATCTAAAATGTCTCTTACCATGAAAATGTTGTCATAAATTGTTCTATCTGGGATACAATAGGATTGATCTGGGTGTATTAAATCCCCAAGTACAGTCTTTAACCTATTAGCCAACACTTTGGCCATTAACTTATAATCAGTAGTTAAAACAGACACAGGCCTCCAGTTTTTAAGATCACTCAAATCCCCCTTTTTTGGCAAAAGTGTTAAGACAGCTCTTTGACAACTTGTAGGAAGACTTTTTTCTTTAAAACATTCTTGAATCACTTCATAAAAATCATTTCCAATAATATTCCACATAGACTTGTAAAAATCAATAGACAGTCCATTAATTCCCGGGGCTCGACCCGTCTTCATCTGTTTTACTGCATCCATTAATTCTTGATATGGTATAGCACTGTCCAAAAACTTGCGCTGTGTTTCAGTAAGAGTAGGGATTTTCTCCATTATTTGTGACATGCACTCAATATTAGTTTCTTCCTTCTTGTAGAAGTCTGAATAAAAATCCACTGCAATCTTTCTCATTTTTTCTGGATCAAAAGTCTTTAGTCCTTCAGGGGTCTTCAAACAGTACATTTCATTTTGTTTTTTTGACACTTTTTCTAAATTAAAAAAATAAGAAGTAGGAGCATCCATCTCGTGCAATGACATAAACCGAGATCTTATCAAAGCACCTTTGGCCCGCACTTGCAATAATGATTTTAAATCTTGATTTTTTTTACTTAAAAAGACTGCTGAAGATGAATCAGAATGCTGTATCATGCCAGACGTAATATGACAGATTTCATGCTCTATTTCCGAAATTTTTTGTTTTATTTTTCTTGTTGAAAACCATGTATATTGTTGACAGAAAATTTTTATTTGAATCTTTTCTAACTCCCACCATTGTAATAAATTTTTAAAATCTTTTTTCCTAAAACTCAACTCCTCCCAAAATAATTTGAATTTTTCATAAAACTGTTTTTCTTTCAATAAAGCAGTATTCAATTTCCAATAAGGGCTTTTAAAATTAGATTGTGTTAAAACAATACTGACTGTAATTAAATTATGGTCTGATAAACAACAGGGAAAGATATTGCACCCACTTACTCTGTTTTTATCACTACACTTTACATAAAACCGATCAAGTCTTGCTACACTAATCATTCCCAGATTTATTTTAGTCCATGTATAGTGTTTTATTTCCGCATTTTGGTCTCGCCACACATCTATCAAATCATTCTGAATTATGAAACTTTTTAAAAAAAGATGCCGATGCAGGATGTGGTTCTTGATTGTTTCTATCTAAAAGAAAATTAAGAGTGCAATTCCAATCTCCTCCCACAATTAGAAATCCTTCCAAAGTATAACTATTTAAAAAATCTTTTAATTTCTTAAATACTGCTAATTTTTCTGAGCATTTATTGGGAGCATAGATATTTATAAATTCAAAGAGTTGATTGTTTACTTTAGCTTTTACCAACATAATACGTCCTTTCTCTATTTCTACTTCTGATATAATATTTATATTTAAGTACTTTGAGAACAAAATAGCTACCCCTGCGCTGATATTTGTACCATGACTAAATACAGTTTTTCCTTCCCACCATAACTTAATCTCAGATTCATTCTTTTGATCACTATGTGTTTCTTGTAAAAAAGTTACATGGGTTTCTTTAAGTTTAAGAAATTCAACAAGTAAAGCTCTTTTACTCCCATCCCTCATCCCATTGTTTAATGATCCTACTTTAAGAATCTGCATTGCAGGGAAGATAGAAAGGGAAAACAGGAAATAACAGGTAAGTAAAACAAAAATAAAAATAGATCCCTCTCCCATGTGATTTACTTTTTTCGTTTTGACACTCTTCCTTGTTCTTCTTGAGCTTTGCGTAACGTTGTTACAAACTTACTCAATCGGAATCATTTTTGTTTTGAAAGTACCTCATAGCCCACATTCTTCTGAGCAATCAGCACCGATTTAATAAATGTATTGCTATCGGGAAAGTGCTTAACTATGTCAGTCTTTTTTCCTTTAGTTGAATCTAAAAAAGCATTCAATTCTTCTACCGAATACACATCATCCAACGACTGACTACACTCAATTTCCGAAAACTCTGAACAGTTATCATCGCAGTCCTCCATATTTTCATCACTATTTTCATTCTCTGCAATCACCTCCGACTCTAAACAACTCTCTTTTAAAACTACATTGCCACCAACACCATCATTTTCCTTATCAACAGCCGTATTTTCCTTCAAAACAGACGGGCTTACAGCATTATCACCAGCACTCAGAGTTGAAGTAAACGCACTTACCTCTAACGTTGAACTTGAGCCTTCGGCACTTTGCTCGGTTGTAAAACCAACTTCTGAAACAACGCTGGGTTCATCTAGCATCCCTGAACTGTTACCATTAATGCCGGTTGTTTTCTGTTTTTTTTCCCGGAATCACTACGTCTTTCACCGCTGTAGGTCGCTTCTCTTTGTTTTGACTGCTGTTGCTTTGATCATTGCGCTCTTTATTCATTCCGTCATTTTTTTCATTTTCTAATTGTTTCTTATGAGTGCATTTGAGCTTTTTGTGCCCCAAATCCCCGCACTCGAAACACCGCAAACTCTCTGTTGTTGCATAAACCATATAAGAACTGTCCCCGTGTTGAATACGGAACGAAATGTCTAAAGTCTTAGACTGTGCATTTAAAAACATGAATACATGCCTACGGAAAGACAGCACATGTTTTAAAGCGACGTTTTTGCACCCAAACTGAACCATTTTGACAGAACCCGCAAACTTACCAAAACGATTCAACTCCTTAAGAATTTGCTCATTGGGAATGAATGGAGGCATGTTTGAGATTGTTACTTTAGTAGCCAGTGTACGCAAGGGCACTACTTGTACTAGCGTGTCGTTAACAACAATTCCGTTTTCCACGAGATCATTAACGTGTTTCTCATCTTTAAGAAACACTACCACAGCCTTATTCATTCTTGAGGCAGATACTATATTTTCATGCTCAACTATTTCTCCCATTGCCAAAAGCACTTCTTCAACTGTAAAAACTTGGTCCGAATAAACTTTGCATCCATTCTTGATAGAGAAACCAGGTGTTCCCTCTCCTGAGAGAAACGCCATGGTTTCCCTTATCATAGAGGGGATCGCTGGTATTAGTTTAAACCAAACAAATGAATCAATAATACAAAAATAAATATTCTAAAAAAGAAGAAAAAGGATAAAGGGGGGGGGGGGGGGGGGGGGAGGGAGAAAAAAAAAGAAAACAAAAAAGATTAACCCTGAAACCAGTTCAGCGTGTTGCTCTCACACCCCACACCACTCCTTCACCTCGTGCAGAGAGAGAGAGAGAGAGAGAGGAGCTACTGGTTTTTGGAAGTGATATACTTTATTCATATTGGACCTACAGGAAAATATTTGTAAGAATAATGAAGACATAATAACACGGCACTGAATTCTGATACCTTCTTGCTGGGTGTTTTATTTTCGTGTTCATCTTCCCATGTGGAGTCCAGTTCGCACTCACCATCCGAGTCTTGACTTAACTCCATTTCAAAAGTAGTATCGTTTGTAGGACTAGCTTGGTAACTCAGTAAACGTCTTATAAACTGCCATATAGCAGACATAAGAACTCAGACTTGTTGAAGTCCTCGACCTTCTCGCTGGCTAGTGAAAATTTAAGATGAAAATCATGGTGAAGCGAAAGTATTTCTGATACAGAAGTCAACAAAAACATCAGCTGGGTCAAGGGTTGCCAGGTATTTCAATAGTCATATTTTTGCTGGTAATACGTTAAAAACAATCTTACAAAGAATATTCGATTTATCTTTATAAAACAGAGTAGCAAACGGTTGGGTGGTCTGTATTTGATTCTAATAACATAAAACATCAAATTAAAGTTTTAGGAAATATTGCTTAAAATTATGCCTCATTTAACAAATTACCCATAACTGCTATTTATACCGGCCTACCGTTGAATATGCATATTGTGCATTGTTTTTAGTGTGCTATGATGTAATAGCACATTCAATATAATCTAAAGTAATTTATTTTAAAAAACCTTTATATTTTGTAGATATCAGTGATATGACAGAAAACATAGAAATATGTTCAATGCTTACAAGCACAGTGATATACAAAACACAGCATTCAGTGATATGACATTTATTTGGTCACCAGCAAAAACCCAAAACAAAACTGCATCGTTTTACAAACTTCAACAGGTTCATCCATTACAAAAGAAAGCATACAAATCTAACAATTATTGGAGCCAGTTTTCAAAGTGTGATCTTGCTTTATCAATACAATTTTTATTTGCATCAAACATCACTTGGTTAATCAGAACTTCATTTCTTATTAAACAATCAAGTTCAAGACAAACTTATTAGAACACTTCACAAAAAATAAAACAAAAATAATAATAACATTACATTTGTTACAGTGCAAATTTAGCTTTTGCATGCTATTTTTAATCTCCGTTAGTCAATCTGTTAAATAAACAAAACAAAGCAATGCATCTCAAAGAGTTGAATTTGAGCCCAGGCATACAGGCGTTTCAATATATTTCATGTAATTTAATTTTGGGGAACAACCAAAAAAAAAAAAAAACATTAAAGGCCTTGATACTTTCTGTTTTCAGTTTCCTTTTTTTCCATGTCAGACAAGTACACCCTTCATGGACAAACTTTCACTACTCATCACCAACACCATCAGCACTCATCTCTTGATTTTGGTCTTGTACAGTTTCATTTTCTGAGTTGCACTGACTGTTTTCATTATTTGATCCCTGCTCATGTTCTGCTGACATTTCTTTAGTATACGCTGTATTATTTAGATTACTTTCATCTTCATCATTTGTCTCAACATTTGACCTCTTATCCTGACTATTAGTTTGTTCGGTCAACTTGTATGGACTCCCTGGCCTCTCTTTTTCAGCATTGTTACCATTATCACCATGAGACATGCCATCTTCTTTCATTTCAACTTCAGGGTTGTCTAGCATGTCATTTTCATTAGTTTTCCTAATTTCAGCTAGATTACTTTCATCAGAATTACCATTAGGTTTATTTTGTGGTGTCATGTGGACTTCATTATTACCATCACCACAACTCTTTTGGTTTTGCTCTTTTACACATTCATTGCCTAAGCTGTACAGACTGTTCTTATCATTTGACTCACTCTCTTCATTCATCTTCTCTGGACTATCTGGCCAGTTCTTTTCATTAGTTTTCTCACTTTCAACGTGATAACTTTCATCACAACCTGAATCAACACTTGGACCTTGATTGTGATTTTCTGCCATTTCACCATTTGAGCTACTTTGACTGTTACCATTAGTTTCCCTTTGATGACTTTGAACATTTTCTTCCTTCAGTTTGTTTTGACTAACTGCATCATCTTTCTGGTCATCATTTTTATTGTCAATTCCCATCTCTTCAGGTGGAAGACTGGCATGTATTTTGTTCATTTCATGATGGCAGTCTCTTTGCTGTTCACCTTTTTTAGAAGTTTCCATTTGCAGAATCTTCTTTGGGCCCCAGACAAAGTCTTCTCTGGGTCTGAAATGCTGATAAGCATATCTAATCAGTTCCCTCCTCTTTGATTTGTCCAAAACTGCAAACATAAAGTAATCTAGTACACTTTGTTTGACACGATTAAGTTCTCCTTGCACCAGAGTCTCAAAGAGGAAAAACTTGACAAGTGGTGCCTGATAGTGCTCCAATCCTAAAGTCCCCAAACACTTCAGGATGCGTGTGATGCGCAGGTTGTTGTGAGTATATCTGCAAAAATCAAAGAACAGAACTTTTATTACTGAAAATTCTGAGGCCCAGATTGAGTCTAGGAGTCAAACTGCTTTTCACACCAGGCATTTAAATGCATCACTTTTGTCCACTTTTCTGATGAGGTAGTATGTATTGTGGCCAGGTGTATGTTAGGGGAGGAAATCTTTAAGGACTTAATGATCCAATCTAATTTCGATTCTGGGGGTCACAATCCAATTGTGTAATTTTATTTTTTTTTCTTCCAACCCTAGTGCATGTACAGTACTGTCTGATCCTTCTAATACAGCAACATAACCTGGAACTTTTTTTTATTCTACAAGAATGTTAAATGCACTGAGTAAAAAAGATATATATTTCTCCATTTATGTTGACTTCCTAATGCTAAATTCATTTCGTTTTACATTTTTAATATGTATAACATTGTTGTCTTCTTTTAAAAAGGCACCTGTTTCAGAACATTGAAATAATTCTACTGTGTCTTTATGAATAAAATATTTATTCAAAAAAAATAATAATCAGACGCAATGACGCTGGTGGTGGTTAAAATTCCGTCCCTGTATGTTGCTTTGCATAGAATATAACTATTATCAGTACATAAATATGATTATACAAAATTATAAATGTAAATTAAACAAACTGTATCTTATGAAAGAAGTGCAACACTGCTACATGAGAGTTGTTGTTTAAATAGAATAAATATGTTACATTGCAAAATTAAATGAAATATTTGTTAACGGTTGAATTTAGGCATTTATTATTATTATTATTATTATATCGATACTTAATGATTTTCTAATGCATGAACATGAGGCGGTTCATTCTGTTGAGGCGACCCCAGATTAATAAAGGGACTAAGCCGAAAAGAAAATGAAAGAATGGACATGAATGAAGACAACTGAAAATTTTAGCTTTTTTCCCTGCTTTAACAGCCACAAAACTGCATGCTGAACACTGTGGGATTGTGTTAAAATTGTGGCTGGTAAAATAAAGACATCTACTTTACATTTTTCACCTCCAATACAAACTTATGATTACCAATGTAAAAGTTTAATTACGTCAGGCCAGTACTTAAACAACAAGGTCAGTAGGCAAAGTTAAGGTGGTTGCTTAAAGCAGTTTGAATAGATTTGACTTCATATGCATCATGCATATGGAAGTGGTGGAAAGTGGACAAGCTTAAAACTTTCAGTCACTGTCTAAACCTGTAGTGATCGGTGAAAATGCATATTAATACCAGGTCTAAACAGCAAATGCATTTTACAGGATAAATATGACAAAATAAACCTGTTCAAGTTGTTAAAGCGTTGCTTCCATTTCTCGGCACGTTCCACCTTTCCTGTTTTTTCATCAGCCAAACGTATTCCATAGAAATCCAACATGACTTTATATGATTTGATCAGCTTATGTTTTACATCCTCATCTCTGCGGAATTGCTGGAAAACAAGAGGTGATTTAAAAATTTTTTAACTTAAACTAATATTTCCTCTAAATATTGATAAATTATGCTTAGATACCACTGAATAAAATGTTTGAAACTGACCATGATTTCCTTTTTTGTGAGAACATGTGCTCTCCAGTTCATACCTTGCTCTTGTATTGGAAATAGCCTGTAAAGTTTTGATATGTTTGATTACATACATAAAAAATATGTACAATTAAAATTTAAATACATTTAAATGGATTAAATGAAACTAACCATTGAATGTAGGAGTGAACATCTTCAAGCAAATCATATTGACCCCACCATTCTTTGTGAAAAACATCAATGTGAATATCTGCACAAATAACGGTATTATGTTAAAAACCTGGCTTCCTATAATGACTCTTGTATTGGACAAAAGTGTTTCTAAAATACAGTGTATGAAGAATGCAATGTCATACCGTCAGGTGAAGATCTTATTTCACCTCTGTAAAACTTCAGATTATGGAAGTTCTAGGGGATGACAACAACAATATATATATATATATATATATATATATATATATATATATATATATATATATATATATATATATATATACATACATACATGCATACATATACATATATACATATACATATACATATATACACATATATATATATATATATATATTAAACAAAATGCAACAATTTCTTAAGCATTTTATCCAAATCAAATCTAGCATTACACCAGAGATGCAGGTAAACTATACTTTAAAAATATGGTATATAAACATTGTAAATAGCAAATTCTGACATTCTGAATTACTTCATCTGCTTTTTCCATAGTATAATCCTCATCGTCATCATCTAGTTCCTAGAGAAAACCAAACAAACAAATCTGTAATTTTTCCCAAACAAGTCAGTGGACCAATGTGAGCTGGCATGTTTATTTGACAGAAAAGAAAGTGGAGAAAGACATGTCAGTGAGATACTTCATGTCATGTGTTCAGAAGCTTTCTTTTTAAACAGGCATATTTACGGCTGTACTCTTTAACTCTAGCTCTTCTTGCCTAGTGGAGAGTTTAAAAGTGGCTCTTACTCTCTCTCACATAGGTATATCTTATCTTATACAAGTTAAATGAAACTCACCAGGCAACGATGCCGGAAGTCTTGCATGTCCTTGGCTGCATACCTGTTCCTGCGACTCCTCTTGAGCTAAATACACAAAGTAAAAATTCCAAGTGAGACCTTGTTGTTTTCAATAGAGATATTGGAAGAATAGAAGCATTAAACAACAAAATAAATAAACAGTATAACCAAAAAATGTTAACACTGTTGTTGGAAAAAGTAGTTCTAAAAAACCTTCTTTCTGGGTGTTTTGTTTTCGTCTTCATCCTCCCATGTGGAGTCCAACTCGCAGTCGCAATCATCATCTGACTCCATACTAATATGTTTAGTAGACCGCAAACTACTATTAATACGACGAAACCAAGTACGAGCAAACAAATTATGTGTAAACCTTAACAGGCCAAAGAACCAAGACTTCAGACACCTTAGAAATGTTACCAGCTTTAAGTACATCGAGCAAAAATCCAGAGTTAGTTAAACAAAGCGCGCTTAGCCTTCCCACCAAGTGAAAATGAAAGTTGAAACTTACGGTGTAGTTCAACAACAAGGAAATGCAGGGCTTTTTTTAAGGGTTGCCAGGTGTTGCTCAAATGTTCTGCAAAGGTTTCACGCCACATGACAAAAGGTAAGTCTGAATGACGTTAATTAACAGCTAGATTTAAATTGAAATCACTCCTGTCCTTTTGGTTTTTAGCAATAATAGCAAGTAGCAAAACATTGTCCCTGGCTACGTTTTAATCTGAAACTTTATCTATGATACCTTTGTGGAAACAAACAATTAAAAATAAACACAAAAATAATTTATGGGTCTTTTAGAACCTAAACCCAATGCACAGTAAGCAACAAAACATTTTATTTGGAATCACTGGCATAAACAAATAGCTTCATGCAATTAACATGCAGAAAAAATGCTATATAATGCTATATACAACTTTAAGAATGACCCATTAAGTTCAGGTTTTTGTTTGTATTTATTTTCTGTAATACAGTTTTGGTTTTGGAGAAAAATCTTGTTCCATAATTTCTGAGTCAGACACAAAAATTCTTCATGGAGAACATTTCTGAATATCAACACGATGAGACATTTCATTACCATCATCATCATCCTCATCACCATCCCCACTCCTGATTTAGCTTTTTATGGCTTCCTTTTTTGAGCAACTTTGACTGTTATCATTGTTTGCCTTCTGATCACTTTGAATATTTTCTCCCATCAGTTTGTTTTGACTAACTGCTTCATCATCTTTTTGTTGACCATTTAAAAAAAAAATGCTACCTATGCCTTCAGGAGGAGGACAGAGATCCATTTAGTTTACTCCCTAAATGCTCTTATTTGTTTTCTCCCTTCCTTCTCAACTTTCTTTGACGTTTTCTTTTGCAGAATCTTCTTTGGGCCCCAGACAATGTCTTCTTGTGGTTTAAAATGCTCATAAGCATATTTAACCAGCTCCTTCCTCTTTGATTTGTCCAACACTGCAAATATAAAGTAATCTTGTACACTTTGTTTCACATGTAAGTTCTCCGTTTACAAGAGTCTCATGGAGGAAGAACTTGACCAGCAGGGCCTGATAGTGCTCCAATCCTAGAGTCCCTATACTTCAGGATGCATGTGATGCACAGGTTGTTGTCTGTATATCTGCAAAAATCGAAGAACAGGACTTTTATTACTGGAAATTCTGCTTTTTCAAACCAGGCATTTAAAATGCATCACGTTTGACCAATTTTCTGATAAGGAAGTATGTATGTACTGTGAGTGGGTTTACAATTTTTATACCGTACAAGAGAGTTAACAGCATTTAATCAGTTTATTTAGTAAAGCAAATAAAATATATATTTATTTCTTTTTATTTCTATAAAAGCTTTATGTACGAGATCAGGAGTTTTCATCAGACGAAATGACCGATTATGCAACAGGTTTTGGTGGCTAAAAATACAATTTTGTTAACTGTTGAGTTTTAACTATTTATTATTTATTCAATACTGAATGATTTTATAATGTATGAACATAAAGGGAGACAACAGAAAATGACAGCCTTTGCTTCTCTAATAGCCACAAAACTACATTTTCCAAACTACCTTTTTTTCTGGGTGTTTTTTTTTTTTTTGTATTCATCCTTCCATGTGTAGTCCAACTCACATTAACAATCATCATCTGACTCCATGTTTAGCAATCCAAGCTACTACTAATATAACTACATTGTGCTTAACAGACTACAGAACCAAGACTTTAGATACCTAAAAATGTCATCAACTTTAAGAAAACAAACAAACAAAAAAATCCTGAAAGACTAGTAGTTAAACAAAGCGTGCGCTCAGCCCTCTTACTGTTAAGTGAAAATAAAAGTTAAACTCAGGGTGAAACAACAACATTTCTGCGTGCTTCAAAAGAAGCACAGCATCATTTAATGGGTGCCAGGTGCTAGGCTCAAATGTTCAAACAAAAATTTAATCCCTCTTTGAAAAAGGTGAGTTTGAAAAAGCAATCCTACACAGCATCAATTGGATTATTTTTTATCTGCCTTTTTGCTGTCCCCTTGCAGTGAACAATATAGAAAGTAGCAAAATTAAGGTTGTATTTTGTAACCTAAAACAGATTTTATCTTTATTTACTGTATAATATAAAGAAAGATACCTTTGGTACTGTATACAGCTCACTTTTATGAGCTGCCAATATTGTGCTTATTGTGGCCCCTAGTGGATGAATGTGGGAACAATTTAATGTTTCTATTCTTCTAAACAGACGCATTTCAGTTTTGCACTTTCACGAGGGCTAACAGAAGCGAAAAAGATAACCAATCAAACAAATGAAGGAAAACAGTCTTGTTTACTACCTAAACGCGTATTTAAGTAATATTGTAATAACTGATACTTCTTAGAGAAATGCGGACATTGCAGTACCTCTGTGGCCCACTGGGTGGTCTCAGCCAAACAACAAATGGTTTGAAGGTACTGCAGAAGGAGTTAGAGGAAATTAAAAAAATCTGAAGTGGCAATATATAACTATTGCTCAGTAAAATGTATACTTGGAATTCATTACATTTCTCTTTTTTTTCTTTCTTTTTTTTTCTTATTCAAGATTTCCCCCCTAAAGTTTTGATCAAACCTGCAGTGACACAATGGAATTTAAATTGATGTTTCAGGCAAAGCGATGCACTACGGACTGACTCCATTCATCCAACCTAGAACATCAGAACATTACCCAGAACATATCCACTGCCAGCAGACTTAAGGTCAGTGAAATCCAGGAACATTTTGGTCCTTATCATTCCATTGACAACGATTATCTTGTAAAGCTTAGTGTAACAAAACCAAATTGATTTAATTACACCATTTAAGATCCAAAGGTGTTAGCAGAGTTAACCTTCATAGACAAAGAGCCTATGAAACCGACATTTCCAAAATAACATGACCCAAACATCATATACATTTTCTCTCTGCTTTAGTTTTCTGTCCACACTGAGGTCAATTTAGTTAATAAAAACAAAGGGTTTTGACCAAATTTAACCAATGTGTTTATTTAAGGTAAACAGAGGGTATCCAAAATGTGGACCCAAAATGGTCAGCCATCCATGCCAAAACAATTGTTTGGACAGCTCTGATAGCTTAAGTAAAGATAAATGTCATTTTTAATTTTTTTTTCTTCTTGTTGTATAGACATAGACTCAGTTTTGATGGTGTGAGAGGTAAGATGTAAGTGAAGTCACAGCTGTTTTATATTTGCCAACTGGCTATGATAGAAATTTTAAACAACCTCCAGTTAATTCCTGTGATGTAGGGTTCTTGGTCAATTGCTGGTCAGTTTGTTCAGTTTCTGCTTTGAGTAACTGAATTAAACTGAATGGTCTATATTTAAATACTTAAGTCCAAACCCATTTGGTCTCCCCCAGTTTTTAAAACATTTCTTCATATATAGCCATACACTCTCTTTCTAGCACTAACACAGATCTGCTGTTGTTACAAGCAGATTGACATTAAAATATACAATAGACTGTAAAATTAACCAAAATATTTAGCTTTATCAGTTTTCTGTCATCAATATATCCCCATGTGTTGTGAAGGATCATTTTGTGTGTGTGTGTGTGTGTGGTCCTGAAAGCATTAGTAATACATGTAATTTTTTTTTATCTTATGGCAGCTTATAAGTCATCAATCATTTTGAAAATGTAAAACAGGAGAATGTTTTCTGCGATGGTTGGGTTTAGCTGTGGTGTAAGAGAACAGAAAATACAGTCTGTACTATATGAAAATCATAATGTCTATGGGAAGTCTTCATAAACATGAAAAACAACATGTGTGTGTGGTGCAAATTGTGGTTGATGTCATGATTTGGCTGTATTATTGTTGCAATGGCATATTATGAACAGCAGATGGCTCTGTGTCATAAACCTTCTCTCAAAGCAGCCACTAAATGAAAGCTAATATCACCACGGCTCATCATTTTCTGTGCTATTCAAATACCTGCTGCTAATACACTTGTCAAATGTCACGTTTGGAATCAGATAAACGTCATTTATATAAAACCATTTCACACCGGGATTAAGTCTGAATGAAATATTAGCTCAGCTTATGAATGCTAGTTACTTAATCAAGCCTGTCACCAAGAAAGAGGTCATGTTAATATTTTAAAAGCTGTTTTTGGAATCATTTATGATTGCTACAAAAAGTGCTTTATCAAAATGTGCCCGAATTGGCAGTAAGGCATATTGCAAATGGAGGATTTCATAACAAGTTGCATTTTCTAAATCTTAAAAGCATATGTAAAGATACTCCGCATGTATACTAGGCTACTTGCTATACTTCACATCTCTAGTCATGTCCGCATTTGCAAAAGCATTTTCCTTTTGCGTTTATAAAGCTACTGGATTATTCCTGACAGCTTTATGTAACAGCGTGTCCTTTGTGGGTGTGTTAATAATTAATTTGCTTGATTTTCTTTGTTCAGGGTCTTTTGAACAGCTCTATCTTCAGAGACGTCCACACAGCAGAACATTTTCAATGTTTTTCCCTGTATAAGGCCCAAGGAACGTGAATGCAGGTTCAACCACAGTGCAGTGTTATTGTTTTCTGCTGCTGCAAAAAAAAAATCTTTAGCTTTTTAATTTTGCATGAGGTCATATGTTACCCTGCTGGACAATGAGATTCTAAAACACCACAAGTAAATACGTGTGCACAAAAAAAAAAAAAAAAAAAAAAAATCACGTACAGTGTATCTAGATGGAAAACACTGTTTTCCTTTCATATTAGTGCATTAATAAATAAAAAAAGTAATAAAATATTCAATTAGACACCAAAACAACATTAACATTTTTATAAACCTTTTCAAAGCTGTTTTACAGGCTTAATCACACATGCTGCATTGGAAATAATTAATTTAGCGCAGGAGTGCTGTTTTACAAGTTTGTTATTTAAAAGCTAAGTGAGCGCATCAACAGTTGCCCCGAACACCATGGAGCTACTGGGGCCAAAGGCTTTAGTGTTAAAAACCACTTAAACTGCATTACATTTTTCAGTAATGTAAGATGCAGTTTAAAATTCTAAGATGCTCGGATGC